TGTTATGGTTGTAGTTTTAATTTAAAAATGACTCAATTTTTGTTTATCTCTGTTTGCAGTCAGTAGAAATATTACTTGCTTTCATGGCTTTAAAACACATTACAGAGATTGATATGATCTTTTAATTAACAATATCATTTCACATTTTGGGTTAAAGGCTAGCATGCTTACTTGCTGTGTAAGAAGATCGGTGCTACTCTCGCACGCTAAACATGAAGCTACAGCTAGTGGACGGTTAGCTTAGCCTAGCATAAAGACTGGAAATTGGCGGGAACAGCTCATCTGGCTTTGTCCAAAAGTAACAAGATCTGCTGAACAGCCCAGATAAAACATATCTTGGTTGTATACATTAAACTTCCTCCAAGGGTAGAACAACAGGTTCCAGTTTAAAATGGGGTTCATGGGGGATGTGACTTTCACAGCCATTGCACTTAATTGAGTTCCAGCTTTGAAATAGTTTGACACACAAGCTCACCTTGACATTAATACACTTAGGAGTGAGCTTTAAAAGTACATAATAGGCGCGTTCACACCAAGTACTTTTCCCACAAAGGTTCCTGAGAACTACGATTTAGTTGCGTTCACACCAAAAAGTCCCAAGGAACTAAATTAGTTCAAGAGAACCTTTTTTACACCCTTTTCGGTCCCTGCTAGAGAGCAGGGACTTTCGTGGGAGAAAAAGGTTCCTCTGTCTGATTGGCTGGGCGGAATGCAAACCACGCCCCGTCAAACTCCCAAAAACTTTTATGAAGCCGCCATTTTATTATCCTCGCATTGCATTATTAGCATTAGCATTAGCCCAGCGCAGAAACGCAGAGAGACTAACTTATGACAACACAAAATAAAACATGGGAGCGGTGGAGATGAGGAGGTGTCGGCTTTCTGGCCGTTTACTCGGAAGGCTTCAGTAGAAGCTGCTGGGAGTCCCAGCAGCTTCTACTGAAGCCAGTCCCTAACTCCGGGGACTTCCGGCCGGGGATTTTGGGCGGCAGTCGCCGTGAAGTTGTTTGGGGCCTGCCAGTAAACCCAAAGCAGAAGAAGAAGAAGTGACGTCAGCGGCTTCATTTGCCTAATCCACCCCCAGGAACTAATTTCCGGTGTGAACACGATCTGTACTTAGTTCATGAGAACTAAAGAGTTCTCAGGAACCTTTGTGGGAAAAGTACTTGGTGTGAAAACGCCTATTGGTTGATTTTTACCTTTTAGACAGAGAAAGGCTATAGCTGTTTTCCCCTTTACTACATTTGTCTGCTAAGCTTAACAAAGCTGGGCTAATTAGCTGCTTTATGTACATACACATTAAGTGTACATGCGTAAGAGTGTGGTATCAATCTTCTCATCCTACCCCCTGCCAAACATTAAATAGGAATATTTCCAAAAGCATTTAAACTGTTTCATCAAAGGAGTCATCAATTGTGTGAAAAGGCAATCTTAAAAAATTGTATGAATTAATCAATTGAAATACTTCCTGAGGACCAATTGAGGGGGTGATTTGGCTTTTATTCCAACACCCTCTCCACTGCTCAAGGTTGTTCATTTTTTAAGAAGAAATCCAACCAAAATGAAGCATGCATTGATGAGCTCTATTTGTTAAGATAAAGGATCACACATAATGCTAAACATCTGGAAGCTTCAGCACAGCACATCCTGTCTAAATGGAGAACTGCGGAAATAAAAAAGCACTTGATATTAGGGATGTATCAGTAAATGCACTGTTTGAGTCATCGTCTGCCTCGTAAAGAACTGCATCATGTGAATCTCAGAAGCCTTTATTTGTCTTCATTTACAGTGTTGTAGATTTTGGTTGGGCTAAATTGTGACCAGGTTTTATCCCCGCTCAGCCTTATACAGTATACCAGTATTAAGCTAATCACTCACTCGGTAACACACAACTGTTCACAATCTGTGGCAATTAAAGCATTCTTTTTTTGGTAGGAACCTATATCAAGGATTATATATAACAGAATGAGTCATCTTTAAATATTAGCTTTATGTAAAGAAAGTTGAATGGTAATAAAAGACAGTCTCCCTCCTCAGTGTGTGACAATTTGTTTAATTTACAGCAGCAGCCTTGGGTCTATGTCAGGGGTCCAGATGCGTTTTACAGATGGTTATACTGCAGTAGGATTTCATGACTCATTCAATTTGATGCAGACACTAGCACACTCCAGCATGAATGACTACTTGAGTACTGGAAATTGGAATACTTAAAAGAAGCAATGAGACATGGTTTATAGGGGATCTCGTTTAATGTATGTAATTAAAACAACACAGATACAAAACTGCAGTGCATTGATGCATATAAAACTAAGTGAATGAACAAAATGATATTAAATGTTTAATTTATTTATTTGTATTGATGTCTTTCAAAAATGGGTTTGTGTGTAAGATCTTTTTTGCATTCAAGCATATTTAAAATAAATATTACATATTTATATATATTATTATTATTAAGATTTATTTGTATTTAGCCTTCTTACTACTTGTACAAATTAATAGCAATACTTTCCCAATGGTCATAAAGCATTCTGCTGAAAACATACACAACAGATCATCAATATTCAAGTATTTGGTTACAGCTCCAGTTGCATTCAAAATCTGAAACTGCTTATGGTTAAAATAACTGTAGGTGATTGCACTTCATCTAACAACATTGATTTAATTCAGTTCCTACCAAATATGGCCACATGTAGACTAATTTAGCGGAGTAAGCATTATTTGTGGTTGTATTTACCACTGGAAATACCTGAACAGTATATATTGTGGTTCTTTGAACCACAACCACACATCTTAGGTGTGTATGAATTATTATTGGTATGAAGATCTCATATTTCCCATAACCATGAAAGCAACATTTATTTTCAATGAAAGCAATTTCTGATGTTTACGTTCGTCACTATGGTGACGGTGTAGGAGGCAGGTTGCTGCGCTGGCTTGTGACGCTCACATGAAGTATCAACCAATCAGAAAATTAGCTCTGTTACCGGACTGACGTCACCGTTAAAGCTAACAGAACCGTTACTTGGTTGCAGAAAAACTCTACAACTGCAAGGGGATAGAAGATATGGCTGAATACCAGCGGTGGTTTTAATTCAAACCCCATGGCGATGTAGTTCTCCATCCAACACTATCGTCACAGCAACTTAAGTAATGGTCTAAAAAGCAGCACTAACCAGCCAAAACGATACTTTTGGGGGCGTTTCGCTGCCTGTTTGGATCGGGATGGTCTCCAACTGTGAGGTGAGTGAATGCAGTTTGGTGCCTCGGACACACCAGCATAATACTGAGTGCTGCTGTGCTCTCCTATTTATATAATCAAATTTCCGTATTACCTCACCTTTATAAACATTATAGAAGTCGCAATAAGTCACTCAGATGTTTTGGCATACCATGACTGCGAAACAGCTCTTTATTTCAGGAACATTTCAGTTTCAAGACTCGCAACGTAAGCGTACTTCATAAAGTTGTGTATAATGGGAGGCCATATAACATCAACTCTTTAAGTTTAAAGGGCCAAGCTACCGTTATTCACCGTTAAATGTGCAGTGCCACAGTTCTCACACACTTGGCGCGGTGCTCTGTGAACACTGGCGTCACACCGCGGCTCTCTAGTATCTACTCTGTGGATATTTGAGGAGGCTAGCGAGATAAGGTAGTTAGCCGATGTGGGACGTCCACCCAGGGTACATGGACGAAGTTACCATGTTATTTAGGTATTGACCGTTGTCTTAACTTTGCACGTTGCTACCTCAGTCTAAAGGAACTAGGTTAGTTCTCGCCTCCTCTGTCAAACCTGCAATTACCGGACAACGCTCTTGTGTCTAAGTGGTTATCTAATACTGAATAACGTTTTCCCCATACTTTATGCGGAATACTTCAAATACATAGATATTTGCCTCAAGCGAGTCTGTTCAGCCCTATGTAAAACGGACACACTGCAGTGCAGCGAGTATGGCTTCTGTGCCAGTGTCGTCCCATCTCCTCCCAGCGTCATGTAATGCTATACCGCGCACAGAGACCGTTCACCACTCTGTATTTTTCCATTGTCTAATACACACATACCTCAACTGCTTTGCTTTGCTAGAACATTCTTGATTCGGTACTGGTGATGTATTTTTTTTTCATACATCAGTTTTTCAACTACTGTCACTGCCAACCAGTGTCGTCAAGTAACGAATTACATTTGTTCAAGTGCTGTACTTAAGTACACATTTGAGGGACTTGTATCTGAGTATTTCAATGTTGTGATACTTGGTACTTCTCCTCCACTACAATTCAGAGGTAAATCGTGTACTTTTACTAGACTACATGTATTTAATACCTTTAGTTACTTTACAGATTTGGTTTCATGATGTGAAATATAATTAACAATTATATAAGACTTTAGTTACACCTAAAGTAAATTCACAAGCTACGCTGATGTATACAAAGTCATTAAAGCTAGCTGCAGCTTTACCAGCTTTCATAACACTTTAATGCATCAATAATTATAATCAAAAAATATAATATGTATTATTCTTGAATGAGCCAATCTGCATAAAGATTACTTTTACTTTTGGTACTTTAAGTTTATTTTTATGCTAATTGTTGAACTTTTACTTGAGTAACATTTTGAATGCAGGACTTTTACTTGTAAAAGAGTTTTCCTATACTCTGGTACTTCTACTTTTACTCAAGTACAATATCTGGGTACTTCTTCCACTTCTGCTGCCAACACATGACCTAGTGTGGCAGTTTGGTACAGTATTGTTATGAAGTAGCACTATTACTTGAGGAATGCAAAGTGACTACATCTACTGAATCATGCCATTCATTTAAGATGTTAGCTCCCGTTAAAGAAGCCAATCTGCTGGCTACAGTAGTGCACTGGACTTGATGCCTAGTGATATAGCAATTTGGAATGCCACTGAGTGTTAAGTGACCTGTAGAGGTCATAGGCGCCTGCTATATTTACCGGCTCTGTAACTTGATCTGTGGCATTCTGGATCGCTGTGCTCATACTATCCTCTCACACTCCGGGGCCACAGCCTCCCAAGTAGCACCTCTTTGCTTTTTGTGTATCGGCCTGGCCACTCAGAACTACAAGGGTGAGGCTCCAACTAACCAACTTAACTGCTTAACTACCTGATTGTCAGTTGAATGCATGCTGTGTGTGCTGTTTGCTCAGCTGTAGGCCATGTCTTCCTGAGGAGAAAATAATAGAGGACAGGGCTAATGTTTCGGAAAGTTCCGGATTTTTCTAGCATGAGTTAAGAACCCGTGATCAACTCCTTGGGTGTAGCATGCCTACAGATGATAGGTGTTTGCATTGAATAGTAAACATGTAGCTGGTTGTGAAATATGCACTTGCCGCCTAATTAAGCTGTGCTACATGGAGTCAAACTATCAACTTTCTCTTTCTCATGCTTTATAATTGAGCAACTTTTCCAGATTTGATAATACGTGCCAAAGGATACATCCTCAATCTTTCATGGTGATATGAAATCCGGAGAATGTGTTGACCGTCGGCCTGTAGAGTCACTTCGAGCTGAACGTGTTTTCTGTAAAGTCAAACTATTTTCTGATAGAGACAGCCCAAAACAGATCATGGTTTTGTGTGATAGTTTGATATGTTTGACAGCTAACGATCTAATGATACTGTATGCATTTGTAAAACAGACACAAATGAATCATATTTCAATGTTGTTTGTTTACTTTTGTGTCCTCTGGGTTGAGTGGCATGTCATGTAACATGTCTGTGTGTTTCCACAGGAGTGATCAGCGTCAGAAAGCCAGTGTGTGTGCGTGTGTGTACACTGCGAGGTAGCAACAGTAGGATGAGCTGCCCAAGAGCCATCACAGCCCGCGGGGACTAACACACACTGAAACATAAACGGTAGGTCATTTAACTTGACACACATTTAACACTTTTACACACACAGAAAGTAAGAAAACATTAGCCACATTAGTTGTTAGTTGTGTTTTATTTGCTTATAAATGACTCAGAGAAATTACTAACAAAAGGTTGATGCTATGTGTCAGTTCTCCGTTTACAGCATGTAGACATTTAGACTGTGACTCTAATGAGGCATTGACGTTACAGCTTTCACACCCTTAAAAGGTTTTTGTGATGCTGGAAAGCATTGTCCAACAGTTTGGTCTGCACAAGCAAGAGAAGGCCAGAGAAAACAAATGGGTTTCATGTTGTGATTCTTTTTAAAGGGACCCAACTATTATTTTTGGGGTTTCCCCTTTCCTCTCTAGTGTGTTATGTAGGTTTATGTGCATGTCAATGGTCTGCAAAGGCTAAAATCCCTGTGTTCCCTCCAGAGGGAGTTTCTCCCCCCCGCCTGAAATTGTAAACCTTTGTTTACTTCTATGACATAATGACATCGCTATGTAACACTTGTGCTTCAATTGGCTAGCGCTCAAACACATTTTACGTGATAGGCTGAGGGGCGGGACATCTCTTAACGGTTGACAAATCTCAACAGAGCTGGCCGGCTAACCAATCAGAGCAGACTGGGCTCTGGTTTCAGACAGAGGGTGAAAAGAGGTGCTGCAGCAGAAGCAGTATGAACAAAAAAAAAGACCTTTTTGAACATTAAAGCATGGAAACATGTCAAAGTTGATGCACAAAATACAAATATAAAATTGTTGGCTGTTTAGGAGCTTAAGAAGCAACAAAAGCAAGTATCCCCTGTTTTCGGCCTTGAACTGTTAGAAATTGCTACTTAGGTGATCTGAAGCTCCTCCTCAAAGTCAGAGGGCACAACAATCCCTTCTAATACAGAAATGCCTGACATGTTGTGTCCAATATGTCAGAAGTCACATTTTAAAAATCAATTAAGTGACGGGGAACCAATGAAGAAAAGGCGTCTATATTTCGTTTTTTTTGTAAAGCAGGTTAAAACACCATACAATTGGCAAAGAATAGCTGTGCTTAAAAGTAACAGCACTATTTGAATAAAAATAATAAATCAATACCTCAGCCGGAATTAGCTTATTGCCAGTGGTGGAAACAAGCAGACTGTATTTGCTCATGTGCAACACTAAAGCTACATTTACCTTACTTACTTCTACTCCAGTACAATCCAGAGGAAAACATTGACTTTGTAATACATTAAAATAACACCTGAGTACTTACTTTTCAGAAGAATTCTTTCCATAAAACACATACAGTATGTTATGATACATTAAAAAGCAACATTAATGATAATAATAATAATAATAATACATGAGACTTATATAGTGCTTTTCTAAAAACTCAGGAGTTGCTGCTCCTTGTTCTGTTTTAGATATCTAGAGTTGTCCAACTGAGAATTCGATTTTCTATGGTGTTGTTAGTTAACAGTTTCAATCCATGTTTACCTCCTCTCCTCTTATGCCATTCACTGCAAATGTGCAATGCATTTACAATGTTTAAAGCTATGAAAATGATATAGTTGTAATATCACAACTTTACTGAAGTCCTGCCGGCTCGTAGGCAGTTTCTGAATAGGGAAAATGTGTTTTTGTGTAATGGTTTGAGCATTGTATTGTTTTCAAAGTATTTGAATAGCAATTTGACCTGCTTTATTATTACACATGGAATTTCTTTACATGGGACCTTTATGTAAATTTATCAGCGGAAAAGTTTGCACTTTAACTCGAAGACTAAGTAAGAAATATTGGATAAAGTAAAAAGAGTGATCTATTTTTTCTATCTAACCATCAACATTTTCAACGAAAATCATTTCACATTGGCCGGCTCGACCAATCATAGTCAAGTACCGGAACAATGTGCTTGTGTTTAAACCACTAATTGCTTTAAGCCACTTGTGTGTTTCTAATGCCTTTCTCTCAGTGGAATTGCTTTGATTGATTGATGTTTTAAATATTGAAAGCATTTAATTTACCAAATGATTAGTTGAATGAATAAAGAAGTGTGCCAGTGAGCTGCACAGACCAAAAGCGTGAATCAGTGTGTGGATTGAGTCATCTCTGAGGTCACTTTTGCTTTTATATGCTCTCATGTGAGTCACCAACAGATGGTGGTAATGATTAATGCTAATTGGCTGCTCCAATCCTGGTTTTGATATTGTAGAAAAGTGGTTGTGTAGCAAAGACATGTAGTGAGAGGTAAGAACTTCCTTGTGGCAAAACATTTAAGTGGAAACGAAAATGTTGTGTTTTGGAGTTTATTTGTTTTTTGTAAAGTCTGACCAAGGATGGGAAATGAAAGGTAACAGAGCTATATAGTCGGAACATGGAGCTTTGAAGGGCAGTACTGAAGGGCAATAGCATATCATCTTTACAGAACGTTTATTAGGCAGATATTTTATGTCCACTTTAATTTAGTGGTTTTATATGAAATTCTAAAATGTGTGCGTGCCAGCACTGTTTAGTACATTTATATTTGTCTTTGTATGTAGCTGTGAATTCATGATCTTACGGTATACAGTAACGCACTGAAACTCACTAAACTTGGCTGTAGGGGTATCAGTAGCTAGGGAACGCTGGATAATGTGCAACTATGGCCTTGTTAGTCTTGTTTTAATACGAAACACTTGGCACTGAGGTGGTAGTGGGCAGAAAGGAAGGGCAGAGGCGTCAGTGTGGCCCTCACAGACATCAGCAGTCTCTTATCCGCTCACATTTCAGGGTATATATAGCCTCCTGTAAGACCCGGCCAAACCCAGGACTGCCCAGAGACCCCCTAATAGCCACCATGTTGATGTCTAACATTGTCCATTATGGGAACACTATGGCTATGTTGTGTTGCATTGTTTTCTGTGTTAGCTTAAGCTGTTACTGCTGTTTTGTTTTATATTGCGGTGATGGTAACGATAGAATGTTTTTTTTAAGGTAAAGCTGCATTCAAATGATATGCAATATTCTCTTTGTTCACCACTAGTTTTGGCACAGAGCCTTGCAGTGAAAGCAGCTAGTCAAGTTGTGTTACTATCTGCTAGCTGTATAGCCTCTTACACACTAAACTGACACCAAAGAACACGTCCCGACGGAACGTCACCTCACGTCTCCTGCGTCTTGGCCATGATTCGCACTGAAACACACCGCAAAGACTTCAGCCGACGGCTAAGTAGCATGTACGAACTGCGCATGCGTGAGTGGCAATAACTCTCCTTACCAGCAGGCAGAATTGAGGGAGGCCAACTTTTTACATAACTTACCCGTTTTGTTAATAGTAGGGCCTAAAGTTACTTATTATTAGCTGGATCCATCGACTTAATGGCACTTCACAAACCTATTAGGGACATCACTGGATTACTTCCGTATTTTTGTTTGTCTATGATTGAGATGTCTCTATTTATATTGATAAGTCGCAATGGTAGTGACTTGTCAATCTGGGCTTCATTTACATAATACACAATTTGCTCAACGTTAGGTTGAGTCTTGTGTTAAAAAAACTGCTAGTTAGTTTAGTTTCTGTGGATACATCCCCTGCTAGCTTGTGGCGTTACTTACAGCTGTCATCATTCCCAGTGTCAAAGCTCACCTGGTCACTGTTGATTTCCCTCCCCTTTTTTTGCTAGTGTTCTGTTGTTGTTGTTTTTAGATTTGTTGTCTTTGTGTTTAAATGTCTCTTGAATTCAGTTCCAGGTAGTGAAAGCTTGGTTCCTGAAAAGTGTTTAGCTTGGCTCTCTGAAACCTGCCCAGTAAGTGAAACCTCATCTCTCCAGCCCTTTGCCAAAGATTGCCAGCAGTCAGCTGCTGAACTCCTCTCTCCCACCGCGCTCAGCAGCCACTTCTGGTGACAGCTTTCTTTATTCAGAATTAGTAGAAGCTTGGCAGACCAACCAGCGCTTTCATAGTAGTAAAATGTTATAATTTCACGTATGAGAATGGGCAATATGTCCAAAATCCTACCCTGATAGTTGTCAATTGTATATCTTTAAAATGACCGATGTGTTTTGGTAATTCAATAAATAAATGGTCAACTTTAATTTAATGCATAGTAAAGCTTATCGTTGTATACTCCTACATTTGTTTGCTATTTTATTTAAAACGTATAAACAGTATATATATATTTCTAGCTACACTAACTATGTTTACATACTGTACATGCACACACATATTGTACAGAGTAATCAAATTAGGGCAATAGTTAAAGTTAATTCAAAGTATTGGCACATAGCAATAAAGCTGAATGATTGAATTAATGCGGAAAATCCTTGACACTGCTGTTCGAAATTAATATTCCCAATTTCTTCTTTTGGTTTATCAACACTTGGGTTCCAAGTAGACATTTTCACTTGCCTGATACCATTTTCAACTCCGTTTTCTATTTCAAAATAGTAGATAAGTGGAATGTCGTATTTTCACACTTTCACATTCGATTTCCCTTGACTTCTCATTTGTGTTTCTATCTTATCCTGTTCTATAACTCTCTTGCAGCACATAGGTACATTTTTCTCATGACTTGGAGGGTTTTCTAAAGAAAGCAAAGGACTACAGAGCATAATGTGCAGCCACCAGTCTGCAGCTCTGATAGTAGTGTGTATTGGCCGGCTGCTACTTCGAAGTCCTTTGTGCGTCGGTAGCAAGAAAACAAATGCAGCATGTTGCCACAGTAGCTATGGTAACTACTGGTTATTACTGTGGTGGTGTTACTCCCACGGGCGTGATTTGCTGTTTACACTTCACTCTTCACTCAGCTCGCCCACCAGGCTAGTCCCAGCTTGTTTCTCTGCGCTGCCCCGGGTCGCTGGCTGCGCCTCAGCTGTGGGGCTACAGAGAGGTGTAGCTGGAAGCAGCTGGCCTAAGGTCGGAGGTTGAACCAAGGCCAAGGTGGTGGTGCCTCGGGTTCAGAGACGCTTTCCAGGATTCGCCAGTTCCAAAATATCGCTGATCCCCAATGAAGACACAGACCTCCATTTGAGATAATTTTGTGTTAACACATTATAATTCAATATAACCACTATAATATATAATATTTAATCTAAAGGCGCTGTATAAATAAAGTTATCCACTTTAAATATAATCATAAAACATGATAAAGTTCTTTATAGTTATTATTAAACTGAAATATTAAACTACCTTATTATATAACCTGGTCATAGTGTATGTGAATGTATATTATTACTCATTAAAAGCATCCAAATACCAGTTGAGTAACTCCACATTTGTTCACAAATCACATTATAATGCATTATGAACGTTTTTATAATGCATTGCTAACTATGGGAGTTATACATTATGATACTTGCAGAAAACCTAAGTGACTTAGCAGCAATTCTAACCTTTAACCTTCTAAGTCATTATAAAATGCTTTATTATTTGTCATAATGATTGATACAAAGCATTGTGAATACTTAAGAGTACTTGTAATTCAGATGATACACTATGAAAAGCAGGTATTATAAGTAGTGCTTTATGAGTGTGTGGATAATGCATTATACACAGTGAAAGCTAATTGGTCAGGTGAACAGGTGATTCAGTGCAGCCCAGCAACCAATCCAACCCATAATTGATCACAAAATAGCAATATTATAAATAAATACTAGAATATAAACAATTGGACAACGTGAATCACCACCTCTGATATTCATGGCTCTTACATCTTTTTGTCCGATTTTTCATCACCAACAAATACAACAATGGATAATGGCTAATCCGAAAACCTTGCTCATGCCAGAGTGTTGATATTATTCTGTTTCCTTTGGCATTGCACAGCCAAACATACCCTCTGAACATACCATACAAAATACCCTCTGCTGCTGCAACATTACAAAACCAACCAAGTGCATCTACCAAGCCTTTCTTTAGCTAGCTGACTTAGAGCAGGGCCTCTGTGCTATTAGCCTGCTAGCAATAAGTGAACAGCCACAACCGCCTGCCTGGCCTGTGTGTGTTTGGCCAGCGTGTTGGCATGTCTCCAACACGCTGCCTGTCTGCCTTCTCCAGATCCATATGCTGAATTATTGATTAAGCCGTGGTCACAGAGAGAGAGATGCAGAGGGAGAAAGCGATCGAGACCCAGAACGAGGGGAAATTACATTGAGGGAAGTTGGTGCATTCGGAAGAGAAGGCAGGGTGCCGAGGAGGAAGGGAGAGGGAGTTATAGAGAGAAGAGGGGAGAGAGACAGATTAAAGAAATAGGAGCCTCCCTCACTGAACCAAACACGGATCAGCAACACCAGATACTTTTATTTATTCAGACTCTGGCTGCTGAGCATGTGAACAAGAGCCTCAGCTGCGACAGGAACACACTGTGCTCTCTGCCTGCTCACCTCCGACTGCCGGACTGTCCCATTATAGCCGGGGGAGACACACACTACACCGAGAGACAGAGAGGGTGGATTTGCTATTTGAGATGTCATAATAGTCAGGAGAGATTATTTTACATTTTTATATTTATCTCCTTGATTTTAGAATAGGGTTGGAGTTGGGGGTCCCAATAGGTTAAAAAAAATGTTTGCCGTGCCTTGGTTGAGCATTAACTCAAGCATTAATAGTTTATCAGCAAACATGCTAGATAGTACTAATTATGTGAGATCTGTCTCTACTGGATTGTATGTCATGCTCTTTGAGTTGCGTGATGTGGGCTTATGGTAAAGGATGCATGTATAACAAGCCATGCGCTGTCAATGCCTGTTTATAGGCAGCAAGCGGCCCTATTATGCATATCCTATGTCCTATCATGTTAATATGTTGTGCCTCTACTGGGACATGTCTCCATGCTTTCATGTTAAAAAAGGTCTTTATTTTCCTCATACTGCCTGTGCTGCAGCATCTCTTTTCACCCTCTGTCTCAAACCAGAGCCCAGCCTGCTCTGATTGGTTAGCTAGCCAGCTGTGTTGTGATTGGTCAACCGCTTAGAGATGTCCCACCCCTCAACCGTACAATGAGTTGAAGAGCAAGCCAATAGAAGCGCAATTGTTACGTAGTGCTGTCACTCTGTTACAGAAGTAAACGAAGGAATACAGTAGCAGTGGTAAATATTAAACCAATTATGACTCAAATAATATTTAAAATGTTAAGTACATTTTTTAGAACCATGGTTTCTGATCCACAAGAGTCAGTTCAAATAATTAACTGTTATATTAGGTCTGTTGAATACTGTTTGTAGGCCGGTACTTCTCTTCAGCACAACAATACTTCATGCAAAATGATATTTTCGCATATTTTGCCTTTACTAAATATTGCACAGGAGTAATGCACTAGTTCATTTTGCGATTTTGATGGTGCGTTACATATTTAATGGTGCTATTCCATGGAAGTGTTTGCTGTCATGATGCATACACTGTAGCATTGCTATTGTAAACTCATCCTGAAGTGCACTAGTTATACTGATCTGGTTTACTAGATTATAACATAGCTTTCATTGCTTTTCCGTTTGCCTAATCATGAAATTATGATTGAATTGAACTGTAACACTCAGGCTCAATTACTACATGGAAGGAAAGGATTTTGTAGTTGGCCCGGCAACATCTGTCAGGGGCTGGAAGCAACATTACAGTAGCTTGCACAAACAAACTACCGGTATATATTTATAACAGGAAGCCTGCAGAGGAGCGTGAGCACTGATTTCTGGTTACATGCTTCAATTCTACTCACTGGGGTTTGAAATGTGTCAAAGACTCCATGATCTCTGTAAGCTAATGCTATGAAGACATCTCAGATCAATTTGCACTTACCACTTTATGTACCACGCAGAAATAACATCAACTCTTGACAGTGTTAGCACTTAAAGAGCTCATGATGTTCACTATGAAAGATTCTTGAAATAATGGAAGTTTATATTGAAGCTATATGTCCTCCTGAGAGACAGTGAAAAACAACACATAAAACACTTTAGAGCGCTTTGAATGAGTTATAGTAATATAAAGTAGATAATGGATTAAAGTGGTGTCAGTGTTTGGTAATGTGTTCCACAGTAACGTAGTATATATTTCCGGTTTTCATAATAAAGGCCAAAAAGCTGGAAGTGTTAAAGTCAGTGATGCACACTCGTGAGTCATTCTATCTTTGAAGCCCGTTTAATGCTTAGTGAAGCAAGGATAAATATTGCTGTAGTGTAAGTATTGATCTGATTGTTGCTGATGAACTAATACTTGTGTGTCTTTGCTGTGGCTGCAGTCGATGCAGTCTTCCAGAGGCTCTCCCTCCCTGTGGCTGAGAAACCAGCAGCAGCAGCAGCATGTCCCGCGTCTCCTCCACCGCCAAGCGCTACACTGGCCCTTCCTACAGCAGCCACTACAGCTCCTACGGCTCCTCCCTGACCCCAGGCCTTAGCTCCTACAGCGACCGGTCCTCCTACAAGTCTCCCATCTCCTCTTCCTCCACCTACAAGTCTCCCATCTCCTCTTCCTCCACCTACAAGTCCCCCATCTCCACCTCTTCCTCAGGTTACTCCTCCTCCTCCAGCTATCTGAGCAGCTCGGCCGCCCGCAGCCGCAACTACAGCACCTCCTCAGAACCTGACCGGGGTCGCACCATCCCACGTACTGACATTCTTGGGAGCAGCAGCCTCAGCAGCCGCCGGAGCGAGAGCCTCAGCAGAACCCCCATAAAGAGCTACGGCGGGTCGGGTCTGAGCGGGGGGTCAGCGTACACCGGCTACAACTCTTACTCTTCTTCCTCGGCCCAGTCCAGCTACCTCTCTTCACCGTCGGCCTCCAGCATCTCACTCAATCGACGGAAATCTGTCTCCCAGACTGACTTGAGCAGGGACCTGGCCTCTCTAGGCCTCAGTGATGCCTCCTCCTCATCCTCCAGCCCGTCTTCTTCCAGCAGTGCCCTGCGGAGCTACCGCAGTCGGGCCACCGATTTGGCCAACTCGTATGGTGCGAGCTCCCGTATCGGCTACTCGGGCCTGTCGCGGAGCTCTACTCAGGAGGCCCTCTCGCGGAGCTCCACCCAGGAGGCCTTCAGCAGCAGCAGCAGCAGCAGCAGAGCATACAGCTCTTCATCATGGGAGCCGAGCAGCAACAGGGTGTCCGACTCCCCAACCAGGGACTCCACGGTGAGAGAATGTTCTTGGTGCTCATGCTGGCTTGAAGGTTGTTGATTTGATTGGGGTTCAATGCTGCAGATTGGATCAGTATCAAAGGGTTGAGTAAGGCCGAATGTAGCCGTAGCTGGGCACTCTGGGTCCTTTTCTTTAGTTTAACACACTTTGTAAAGCCCATCAATGTTTAAGGCTTCCGAGAGTACTGGATTTGACCAAATGGGGGCACTATTGTTCAAATTAAATGTAAAGCATTTGAAGTCCTGATATAATAACCTGACATGTCTCTAATGCCCAAGTTTAGAGGGTTACTTTACAAATGAAATCTGTTACAATAACCTAAATGTAATCTGAGTATCAAAATATAAAAGTAACCTGATTACTTTCTGTTACTATTGGATTACCTCAATATCCAATTTAACCAAATAAACACACAAAAAAGAACAACGTGACCTTAGAAAAGGAGAACACAAGATCAAAAATGCTATAATTGATAGGAAAACCTGCCTTTCATTAAACATATTAAGGCAGTAGCCTATACACCAACAATGAAACACATGAGCACAAACTACAGTTAAAAAAAACAGAAATAAAATCTGAGCTGACAGAAAATGCTTCTTTTTAGTTTAATACACACATACAGCTCACACACATTGGTTCATTTTCAGCAAAGAAAGTGAAAACCATAAATCAGATTCAGGCAGCAGGCGTATAGATTCACACTTAAAATATTAGGCTATAGAACAGTACAGCTTACAGAGAAGGAATCAAATCTGATCCTTTTACAAGAAACAATATGCTCTTTTGAGTTTTTTCGTCATTGTAATCCTGCTAGTAATCCCTAATTTATAGAAATGCAAAAGTAATCTGATTATGTCTTCTTTTAATGTAACTGTTAGGGAATACAGTTACAGATTACCTAACACTGTTAACTTTAATCCGTTAACAATACGTCCGAAGCTTGCTGATTCCATTTTCTCTACAAGGCTATAATAATATAAAATATTGAATGAATTTTCTTTTTCATTTTATTCAGATTTCAGTTTTTTCAGAATTTGTTTGCTATTGTTTGTTTATCTGCCTTTAGCTTAAGTATATTTATAGTTCATCACAATGCTTTAGTTTGAGTTTTTAGAGGTTTTTACAGTTGTAGTTTCCACGTTTATGAGAAGCATCTGATCCCCAGCAACTAGAAAGATGACACCTGTCAGATGGAGCTGCTAGGCTATGATTGGCTGGGTCTGTAGGCCACTAGCCTCATATCTGAGCTTTGTATTAATGACCCAGCTTCCTCTAGGCAGGTCAGAAAGCACAACTGACCCACTTCCTCTCAGGATAAGTCCAGATCACCGCTTACATGAGTGGAGAAGGAGGATGAGGAGGAGGAGGAGGAGGAGGAGGAGGGGNCGGGGCGGGGTATAGAGCAGGGGAGAGTGGAAGCTAAAATGAGTGGAGAAGAGAATTTGGGTTTGTTCTAAGTACCATTTATTGATCAGATGCACTTACTATTCATACTGTAGTGCAGTTGTTATTGGTTGCCTCTCCTTAAGTATGTTGATGTGTAGCAGATTGAAGTGATGAGCCCAAGCTTCCGCTAACCAAGCCTTATTTCAGGGTTGGTCGCTAAAATAAAATAATCTTAACAAAGAACTGAATTGGTATGCCCCGTTAGTTTACCTGGCTAATCATGGACCCAATGTATCAAAGCTGAGTCCTTCCTGTTATCGAATAAAGCAAAAATGACATCACTATGTAACATTTGCGCTTCTATTGGCTAGCTAGCGCTCCAACACATTGTACGTGATAGGCTAAGGGGCAGGACATCTTTAAGTGGTTGCTCAATTACAAAAGAGCTGGCCAGCTAACAAATCAGAGAAGACTGGGCTCTGGTTTCAGACAGAGGGTGAAAAGGGCCAAACTCATGATCATATTTATTACCTATTAAGTCCAAAACTAGTGAAAAATGTCCAAAGTGATGCCTTTGAATGTCTAAAAGCCAAATGTATTCCCTTTAATATTATGTGAAACAGAGAAAAGAATATAATCTCGATATTTAAGAGGCTGCATATTTTCTGACAATTCTGCATGAACAATTATTTAAAAGATTACTGGTTTATCAAAAATAGTAAAGAATTATATTTCTGTCAATTAAAGAAGCACTCAATACAATACAAAGTGCAATACAAACAAGTAGTTAATAATCATGCATTGCATCAGGAGGCATTGAATCAAGCAAATCCTTTTATAATCAGTTCTTTTGAGTACTTTTTCAAGGAAAAATGCAAAATGTTAGGTTGTTCCAGCATCCCCTTAGTGAGAATTTGCGGATAACTCTTTATTGAAATAATGAAATAAATGCACTAATTCAAATGTCCTTACACAGCCACTCCTGAGAAACGATTTAATCAGCATAATTAATTAGATTCACCTGTGCAAGTTTACCTTGGGTGTGCTTTAAATGAAACAACCATCTGAAAATGTTGCATAATTAGTTAGTAAAGCGTTGGATGATGTTGGCCTCGTATGGTGTGTTGTTACTCTCAGGACTTACACAAACTGCTGTACGCACTCGAATGACTCGAGCATATGGAACTATATTAACTTACTGGTCCTGCTGTTATGAGGTAAACTTGACCAAATTTTTAACCCCGCCGTACGTTTCCTCATCCATTCCACTAGTCTGCATTCAGAAATAGATAAACGTGACCTTACACAACCCTTCACAATGAGTAATGACATTTGAGGGTTATTTATTCTAAAACAAACGCTGAATGAAATCATGCATTGTTGCATGCAAAAAAAAGCAAATTTTTGAGCCTGCAGCTATAAACTGTGAAACACAGGCGTACTCACACCGGAGTACTTTTACCAGTACTTTTCCCATTTAGTTCCGATAGTGCCTGGAATTTTGCGTTCGCACCAAAAAGAGTACTTAGTTCCGAGAACTTTTACCCCCATTTTTAGTGCCTGCTAGAGAGGTGGTACTATCCTGGGGAGAAAAGTACCAATTTCGATTGGCTGGGCGAATAAAACTCTGAAAAGTTTTGTGAAGCCGCCGTTGTATTTGCTGGCATTAGCATTATTAGCATTAGCAACGGACAGAGACTATGGCAACACAAAAAAAAACATGGGAGCGGTGGAGTGATGAGGAGGTTTCGGCGTTCTGGCGATTTACTCGGAAGGCTTCAGTAAATCTAAATGCAATATAAAAGTAATGTTACCTGACTTATTTTACAAACGTTAAATTAACGGTTAAATCTTCTATTACAAACGTGTGAAGTATCATTAACACGTGTTGGCCAAAAAGCTTATTTTCTGCAATATACCGAAATCCAAATGGGGACAAGTTTAAGCTAGATGTCTATTCTTATGAAATTCATCAGGTAATCAACACCTATCCATGGAGCACAGACTGAGTAGCTTTAACTGGATGTCCCCAGCTGGGCTGTTTGTCCTGTTAATTAACCCCAGTCCCCTGTTAGCTCACTCCCTTTAATCCCCCTTTCGCACAGTGCAGGGCTTCTTCACTGATTGTTGGAGCTCTAATGGTACGACGGCCCTAGCATAGGGTGACCAGACGTCCCCGTTTTCCGGGGACAGTCCCCGTTTGTATTGGCCTGTACCCGGTTGAAACTGTCCCTGGAAATGTCCCCGTTTTTTAATATACGTTAAAAACACATAGCAACGTGAAATAA